TGTGTGTGTGTGTGTGTGATAGAGAGAAAAAGAGAGAGAGAGAGAGAGAGAGAGAAAGAGAAAGACAGAGAGAAAGAAAGAGAAAGAGAAAGAAAGAGAGAGATAGATAGATAGAGAGAGAGAGAGAGAGATAAAGGGAGAGAGAGAAAGAGAAAGAAAGAGAGAGAGAGAGGTGGGGGGTGCAGAGAATGAGTGTTTTGACACAAGGCATTACAATAAGCATAGAAAAGATGGTGAACATTAAGCAAGACAGACCGTGGTATCCAAATGACTCTAAGTAAGATGGGGAAAAAATAGAGGGAAGGGATACAAATAAATCGACTAGCATGCTACGATACACGTCCAAAACAACCTTACACTGTCAGATAGAGCTGTGGACTTCTTAGATAAGTAATGTTTTTTGGACAATGCTATTGTAATATTTAAAAAAAATATATAGGAAGTGGGGAGTGGTCATTTGTTCTGGCGATTGTCCCAGATGGACGGTCGTTAAAACAGTTGACTGTATACCAACCGTGTACGTGACGACTCTGTCTCCTTTTCATCTCTGGGTGTTTGCTCTCCTTTACCGGCAAACTGTAGCAATTGTTCTTCCTCTTTGTCTCTGTCCCTAGCACAAAATGCACCTAGCCCCCTGTGATGTGCAGCCAGTCCTTCCAAAGGGTATAAATCGTTGTCCCGGCTATGGATCAGTTCTGAGGAAGCCACACAGTCACACAGAGCTACGGAATCACTGGGCACACTAAAAATTGGTCAGCTCATTGCTCGGTTGTGGTGAGTATGTTAATGAGGTAATTGTCGCCTGTTCGTCTATCTTCACTGCCAAGTGACGCAATACTTCGCTGCTGTGTGACAAGTCGAATTTTTCCTTAGGAGTGAGTGGGCTTACACTACTTACAGAGTCAAATACTCACTGTTATTATTTTTTTAGTAATATGGACGTGTACTTCAATCCCCATCTTATTAAGAGCTTAGATTATTTAGGAGGCGGGCTTCTACCCCGCCGGTCAGGGCCAGCCTGTAATAAACAATATGCCTATCCTCCCAAGTGCTTCTAGCAGGCAGGAATCATCAAGACCATCACGTATATAATACAACATGATACAAGGTATATCACTCAATCACAACAACCTATTCTTGGCAAGAACGATAAATCTACACATCCTCACGATGATGTGTAGTCGATTACTCAATTAATCATGACATCAGCTGACAACAATGTATACATAAATCTAAGTCGTGCTGATGTCAAAATCAATTGCCAAAGACACATTTATCGTAAAAAAAATTTGTAATAAACAATATGCCTAAAAAGAGAGATACACTGCTCCGCTCAGCGCTGTGAGCATATCCGAGCAAACCGTGCATAACAACAACACGAAAGTTTCAACCAAAGAATATTACATGTATGGCAGTATCGCAAACATGCGAACCAACTAAACACTGTTTTCTACAGTTAGGGTGTAGAAATTTAAAAAGGAAGCATAAAACGAGCCCATAATTCAGATATTAATGCTGGCAGACAACACCAAATGGAACATTGCTCAGTTCAAGCCATTGGACCACTTTAACATGTTCCTGCTATATTTGTAAATCATAGGGTCAATATTAAACATCAGCAGATAAGATATTGCCAGTAAATGTTTCATTGGGGAATGGGTACACAAATCTGTCATAGAAAACCTCTTGAGGTTTCCACCTGTCTATTTGACGTGTGATCTCTGGGTCATTATCCCTACGCAACCGCAGCGGTCGCCCGGGGGGCTATCGTGGCCTAGAGGTTAAGGTGTTCGCCTCTCATTCAAAGGTTCCGGGTTCGAATCCGGGTAGCGACCAAAAAATTTTCTTCTCTAAATTTGTCTCCTTTCACCTCCTTTCCTGCTCTCTAGCAATGTTCTGTCGTCTGCTTTCGTCTCCACTTTCTGCCCCCCACCCCTTCACCTCCTTTGCCCCCTCCTCTGGGCTCCTGATTCTTTCTGCAGCCTTTCTACTGCTACTCATTGGCTTCTTCTTACTGCTGTCTTTCAGCCACACCCCCTGATCTTCTGGTAGGAAAGATCTACACCTAGCCTTCTCGGACAAGGGCGAAAAATCTCGGAGGTCCCGTGTGCAAGTTGTGCACGTTAAAGATCCCTTGGTGGTCTAAAATCGATAAGAGTAGGCTTCGGCCGCCACCCGGGCAAAATTCAAAATTTCCTACCAACTGAAAAAGTTTAGTGTGTCCCGCGTGCTCATATGACCTTATGCAGTTGCGAGCGCCGTAAAACACTTACAAAAACAAACAAAAAAACAAGCGGTCGCCCCCGTAGGCCGAAACGAGCGGGGTGTGAACCTGCCATCCAGCCCAGCTTCCTCCATGGCTTCCTTCATTACTTTGCCTATTGCAGTCGCGCTCCGTGCGTGGTGAGGTGGGCGTAACGACAGAAACAAGGGCCCGTCCCCCTGTGTCATGTCCTGTGTTCTATTCATGTCACTCCTGATGCACGCTATTGAGTCAACGAGTGGATTCAGTGCTGGGCGTATGAGCACTTCAAAACCAGTTCGATCCTTGTCATTTTTTATCCCCAAACATAAGAGTTGCTGACCCATCCTCATTAAACTGTATGTCTCTACGTGTAAAATTGATATCCGAAGGTCTGCACCTAGCACAAAGAGCAAGCAAAGCAACTGCCTTTTGTTTTAACCTCTTCAGTGACAACTGCAAGTTCTCACCCCAAAGCCTCAAATAACGCTACAAAAGCTCGTATGAGCATGATGCTTTTTGTTGTGTATGTTTTAACCAATATTAGCTTCAGGTTCCGAAGAGTTTTGGGCAACGGGTTCAAGCCCAAAGCTGAGTACAATTGCTCGAGGGCTTCTATAATGGATGTGAGTATTGATTCTGGCCTATCGGAGTGCTCAGCCTTATGACACAGAAATTCAGCTATGACAGCCGACCTTCGTTCCATTGAGGGAGGGAATTCAAAGTCATTTTCAACACAAAACTCCTGAAACATAAGAATATATGTGTCATACAGTTGTAATGTGAAAGGTGCCAGCGACCTATGAAAGTATGATGCTGCCCTGTCCGACCAGCCAAGGTTGTTCATTAACTGCTCTTTCCACTTACTCTCGAGGCTAATAGTCGCCAGTTTGGGTTTTTTAGGGGCTCTGGCTTTTTGGGGAAAAGCGGAATGCAAATTAGTTTGCTTTTTGGTAGTTTGAGTAGGGCGCACACACTTATTGTGAGCAGTTTTTGAAACCAACTCTGGGCTGGCCAGACCGGCGCAATCAATGTGGCAACGGCTTTGTCTGATATGATTTTGTCGATGACCTTTTTCATGAGTCGAATTGGCGGATTGATATTATAATTGTTCCACCCTGTCCAAGACTGACTGGACGCATCCACCCCAGATGTCAGCGGGTATAAAAACCGACTGTTGTACAAGGGAAGCTGTGCACTGGACATGTTCGCGAACCTGTCTATAGTGAATGGTCCACATATCGTGTTTAGGTACTGGAACATCTTTGGATGCAACTTCCACTCGTGTGCCGATGTGTACCTGCTTAACCCATCTGCAATTGTGTTGTTCGCCCCTCGTAAGTGTTGTGCAGTAGGTGTAATGTTGTGTTTTATTGCGAATGTCTATATGTTGGACGCTACCTCTGTCAACTGACGGCTTGGGCCTCCCATGCATACCAGGTATGAAACTGTTGCCACATTGTCTGACAATATTTGCACTTTGCGACCTTTGACAACATCTCTGAAAGCTAGTAAAGTCAGATAGATACACCGCCAGTATCTCTCGATAATTTGAACATATTTTTACAATGTAACGCGGCCAGTATCCTTGGGTTTGATATTCAGTGTTTATAATAGTGCCCCAAAATCCTATTTGCGAGGCGTCGAATGCGATTTGCATCACCGGTTCATCTGCCCCTTGTGTGGAATAGGTTCGACCGTTCCACGCGGACAAGGAATCATACCACCATTCTAGGTCTCTTCTCGATGCTTCATGAAGCATCAGTACATCCTGCCAGGATGATCTTGTGCTAAGCAATCTATACAAATTTCGTATAAGTAGTTTAGAGGGTAAAATTGCTTTTGTCATAGAAACACACTGCCCACATATCCGTGCTATAAATCTAGCTGAACCGGTGCCTTGAAGATAAAGGCGTCTAACGTCTTTTTTTAACTTGTGGATCCTTTGCTAAGGCACCTTAATTAAAACTGCATCTTTACACGAACATGTTTCAATTATAAAACCTATGAACTCCTTAGAACTGGTAGGCTCCAAGTTAGATTTTGCAAAGCTGATGTGCCAACCCAAATTCTGAAGCGTTTTAACCACAAAAGTTGTATGTTCAGTTATTTGAGTCTGATCACTTCCACATTGAATGAAATCGTCCACATTTGCCAATATACGGAGTACTTGTTCTCTAAAATACTGAACAATTTTGTTCGAAGGATTTTACAGAAGAAATATGGGCTAAAGTTGGCACCAAAGGGTAATACAATGAATTTATAGAAAGAATTGTTTTACTCAAAATCCCAGAAACAGTGTGAAATCCTTATGCACTGGAATATGGAAAAAGCCATTCTTAATATCAAAAGTCACGATGCTGTCTTTGTGTCTCACTATGTTTAACACCGAATTGCTGTCCTCATACAAAAACTTCTTTGGTGTACAAAAACTGTTCGAGTGTCTTAAATCCAAAATCAACCGATAAGAACCATCCTTTTTAGACACAGTACTCAGGGGTGACACAACAAACGGTTTTTCTGAGCATTTTTCCACACAATTCTGTTTAATAAGCTTTTGTATTTCCTTGTGAATGAATTCTCTCTCTTCCTTTGCTATTTTAGCTTTAGAATGAATATGCACTGGTTGGCTAGGTGGACCTGAACTACAAAAAGGGATTTTCACACCATTTTCTACCCAGTCTAACACTTTAACAGCCTGTGTAACCTTTCTTCACTCTGACAGTTTCTGTCTGATCGACGCTCCTTCGAATTCCAAAGGCTCCATCCATGACCAGGTCTAGTGCCGTCTAGTCATTCTGCATTGGTCCCTGGGACCTTTGGAAACTGTGTTGGGCTCTGAAAACTAGGAAAACTCCTGCCACTACCACGCCAGCTGGGTGTCGTGTAGCGGTACCCTTGGGGGCCCTGCTGATGCCATTGTGGCCGACCTCTGCTCCTTTGGTTAACACGGTTGCTCACTGCAGACAGCTCTGCAGCTATTCTTAGGTTGTGAAGAAATTGTTCTGAAAATGCGGCTGAATTGTTTTCAAGATTACTAAAGAGCCTAGAGGTTTCTTCGTCGAATGAACTTTTCACCACAATGTTGGAATACTCCCCTTGTAGGAACTGGGTCGAAGCTGAAAGAATAATGTTTAGTGGATTCGCATCTCCAGCTGATATGTTATAACCGTCATTTTCGTCCTTAGGCAGCGAAGATAAAACCTTCAATATCGTTTCTGTAAATCTTGCTGATTTTGATAAGATTCTTAATGCGTGTTTGTGCTCTTGTTTCACCCCAACTGGAGAGTCATGTTCTTTAAGCCAAGGAGGCAAGATAATTTTGGCAACAGAGCCACGAATGCCCTCAAACTCCTTCTGAATGTCAGCAGCACAGGCTCCAATAGCTGTGGGGCTGTCATATGTTGCACCGTCCCTGACAGGGCTCGGGTCATGCGGTAACTCAGTTCTACTATCTTCCTGCGTCGTGACCTTCACTGATTTTCCAACTGCAGTTAAGCGGTTGTCAAACGATTTCATCAAGTTTGTAATTGTTTCTTGCTGCTCTGTTACTGTCACTTGTTTCACTTCGTCTGCCATTTTGTCTCAACATGATCTATTTTACACGTAACACACTCCACAACAACGCCATTCTCTGTGCAATACACGCCGCACAAAGACACTACTCACAACTGAAGACTCACAACACCGAGACAAACTGCAAAGCGTGCTGTTGGCCCGGATGTTGGGGCCGGTCAAACTCCGAATTGACCGAGTGGGGCCACTTAAAGTAATTCAAAATAAAGTAAAATGTCAATGTTCTGCAGCCAAACCTGAGTCCAAAACGATTGATTAGCTCCTAGGACATTATAATTCACAATTGCACCTGTAGTTCACTCTCATTTAACTGCAAGACGTCTTAAAATTCCCCAAAAAATCGCACACTGATCGCACACTGATTAAGTGTGGCCTGCCTGCGAAAGTGCCCAAGGCAAGAACGATAAATCTACACAGGATGTGTAGTCAATTACTCAATTAATCATGACATCAGCTGACATCGTGGTGCTTCCTTTTATGGGATCAAATTTTAATAATACACTTACTAGTGACATGTGTTGGAAGTGGAGGAAACTTGCATGATTTTGTGGCTTTCTCGCTGCTCTGTTGACCCTTGAAGCCCGACTTATCTTTCATGGCTGTGACCGGGCTGCTGGCAATGGTCTTTGGATTGGACGCGTGGCTATTCATGTCTGCTGGTCTTGGAGTAAAATATACCAAGATGTGTTCTGAGGAGCCATTAATGTGACTGATGTTATCATTGTTGATGCTGTTGAAGTTCATGGGTTTTTTTTTCGTTTTTGTTTGGAGTATGTTGCTCATGCGTTTTCTGCTGCTGCAGCTGCTTTTGTTTGTTCTGCTGCTGCTGCTGCTGCTGCTGCTGTTGTTGTTGTTGTTGCTGTTGTTATATTATGTTATGTTATAAAAGCTTTGGTTTGGGGAAGGTTTCTGAATGAGCAATCGTCGAACAGGCTCTAGTAATCCATAATTCCTTTCCAACAATTGTATGGCTAGATAAATCTTGTAAACCAAGTTTAAACTTAATCTATGTCCAATCCACTATCCCCAAAACCTATGAGAGGTATCCAGGTCCCCAACTTTAATACTATTAATAAGCAAAGGTCTTCAAGTTCGAAGAAACGGACGCGTTGCCTTTTCAACTGTCCCGAGTTTTCTCAATTTCTCAGTTACAAGGAGTAATGAGTTTGTTCCACTCAGCTGATGTCACCATTCTTAACAGATGGATTGCTACAGGTTTGACGGCGATAACAGCACTGGAAATTTCAAGTGGTATTTTGCTTAGCTGGGTTTTAAGGGTATTTTTGTGGTCGAGAGAAACGACGGATGAAGTCAATGAACGCCTATAGCATCCCATCGCCTCTCTAAATTTATGGCACCGGGGTTGTTTGAGAGAGGGGAATATAGGGAAGATCCCTTTGTCTCTACATTTCTCTCTTTCTCTCTCTCTCTCTCTCTTTGTGTGTGTGAGTATGTATGTGTGTGTGCGTGGGTGTGAGGTTGTGTGGGAGTGTATGTGTGTATGTGTGTGTGTGTCTGTGTGTGGCTGAAAGAGAGAGAGAGAGAGAGAGAGAGAGAGAGGAGAGAGAGAGAGAGAGAGAGGGGGTAGGTAAAGACAGTGTATTAACAACCCCCATGTTAATTACAAAAATATTGACGGTCAAAAAGAAACTCTTTACGTGATAAACCGATATCAATGTGACAAACATAAAGTCTTAAGTAGCGTACTTAGTTCTCTAACTAAAGACAAACGTTGTCAGCGTTTCCCCGCTACAAATGCAGTATATAGTGTGTGTATCCCACCTCACGCTCAGTCAGATTGTGAGTCTGAACTTTCATCTGGGTAATGACTTGCTGTGTTTAGGTGCAGAAACGTGCACTGGAGTGCATCTATTGAGGAAAACCCGATGAGACCAACACTTAATTTCTAAGCTCCAAATGTTTTGTCATCGAATTTTGTTAGCATGCATTAAAATATCGTCAGACACTGACCATAATTATCATAATTATTATAATTATTAAAATTATATTTGTATCAAAATTATTATTACTAGGCCTATTATAATTCTTCGAGAGAGAGAGAGAGAGAGAGAGAGAGAGAGAGAGAGAGAGAGAGAGAGAGAGAGAGAGAGAGAGAGAGAGAGAGAGAGAGAGAGAGAGAGAGTCGGTGAAAATGTGTCAATTTTTTATCTTTTGGTGTATGCTGTAAATCCCCTATTACTATTATGTTTTTACCCGCTGTTGGCTTGCATCAAAGAAAACGTGTCGAAACTTAAGTTTGCAGTTTTTGAATGGGCTTTTCGATTCTGTTGGTCATCCAACTTTTAGACCCATATGCAAAGATCTGAATAAAAATAAAAATAAACAGAGCGATTTAATTTTATCGGTTTTAACCGCAGTCAGACTAAAGTGAACAAGCTGTAATCTGATTACCATTAGACGCCTTGTGTTGGCCAGCGCCTCAGCTTGTGAACCTCGGTCAGATTTCTCCTATTGTGCGGTCAAAATTTCGAGGTGCAACTTATCCTCAAATATCTTTCTAACCGGAGGATCAATGTCCCCCATGCTTTGAAGAGCAGTTTGTATCAATTTGTTTTTACCTTATATTTTCCCCATGTGAATCAATTTGTCTAAAATTAATCATAATATTTTCCCCCACAATAGTAAACCTTTTAACATCTGTAGAAATCACCCATGAATTTTTTAGTTATTGTTTATTAAGTAATTTTCTAGAATAAAGCTAACAGGTGTTTACAGAAATGTTGGTGAATTGAGACAAACTGATGAAGTCATTGTGCAAAAGCTGGACCGTCTATGTTCGATGCTTGAGGAAATATTACTCGACAATAAGTTGCGCTACACATTTTTGATCTCACTATAATGTGGAAACGCAATCGATATTACTAAAGCTGCTGTCACATACTGCGCCATTATCACAGCTCCCACATTTTCAAACACTAGAATAACATCAAATTTCACCATCATTATCTCTACCAAACCATATTTAAATATTATTGTCACAACAACGACATCAGTCACGAACAACAATATCCCAACTTCGATATTCTGAACACCGTTGCAACAATTACATTATCCCTCAACACCATTACAACAACTTCACCATCGTCTAAACTAACACCATGACCATATAAACATTCAGCACGAAGAAAACAAGATCACAAGTATGAGATACGCAAAAACATAAAGAAGAACATTACACCATCTGAGTCGATAATAATAACTCTGGAGTCTAACGAAACCATAGACTTGAATCATAGTGTTCTTCTTGATCGTGCACTGTCGTGGCCACCACTCTTTGTTCTGTACCCAAACTTCGCTTCACTGGTTCGCACCATGGGCGCCCAATGAAGATCTAAACACCACTCTCCCTACAGTCGAGAAAGTATGGGGCCTTTCCTCCGTTACCCTTCGGGTAGGTCCCAATTGAGTCAAGTGTTGCGCTCAATAGGGAACCGGAAGTACGTCAGAGTGCACGCTCTAGAATACTCTAATACAAATCTAAGAACGAATCTCAATTCAGTTAAAGAAAAGAACAATAAAACAGGTTGTTTTCCATTGTAGCAAGTTAAATTTATTTCCTAACAGTCCACCTTCAGGAGATGAACCATCGAGTTACTGATAGAAAGAAACGAAACGTAATCGTAATGGTCAATCATAATATTAAGTCAGTGACAGGCTGTCTTTCTGTGTCGGCTTGAACAGGAATACGTTTATTCAAAAACAACAACTCTAAAGTGAAATATAGTTAAATAATTAATCAGAGCAATGAATATAACAATAAAAGCTAACTAGATTATTTAAAAATCGATAAAGTTATAAATTTTAAAAGTATTAACACATAAATGAATTGGTTTTTAATCCTCCATTGTAAACTTTAAAATAAGTTTGAGACATACGATTAGGTCTGTTTAGATTATATTCTGCACATGTTATGAATTCAGTGCACTTTCAAACTTCTTGTCTAACAAATTTTACAATTATGTGTCATATTGCCAACCAAGTGAAGGCGATAAGATGTCCCACAAAACGCGTTTGTCTGTCCTGCTGATACTAAAATGTTAGCGTTTTGTTAGATATCAAGGGGGGGTTTTACACCTGGAGGCTATCTCGCTTATTACTGGACCGAATTTTACCACATTTCACACATATAACAAGCATAGTAAGGAGTCTTGATATCCGCAATCAAATTTGAGAAAAAAGTTTCGTTTCCATGGATACGCCGCCATATTGGATTTTATTGACATGTCTTACGTAATGAATACCGCACTTATCGCTCATGGAAATTGATTGTTATTTTGCATGCGTGTGCACAAACATTAGATCTAAAAATAGGTCTGTTGTTTTTTTCCTAATCGAATTAGAAAATTTTTAATGAATTTTTTCCTGAGGTAGCATTCAAGTTTGCGAAAAATCCGTGAAAATCCACACTCCAGACACCACCAACAAAAATCTATTCCATATATCAAAAATTCATCATACCAATTTTTAGTATTACCTCTTGTCCTCATTCTGTGAAAATTTCATGAAGATTGAATGAAAAATGGTGGAGTTATTCAAAAAAGTATAGAGAAAAGTAGCATTTTGAGAAAACGGCCGATAAAGAAAAATAAAATACTGACTTTATGAGGAAATGGCGGTTACAAACATGCCCGGTATGGGAAAAAATACGATTCTTATGCCATGAAATAGTTGTAGGAGAGGCTGAGGAAGCTAAAAATGCCTAAAACATTCTTTGAGCCGAATTTTGATTTTGGGGGTGTAGCCCCCCCCCCCCCCCTTTAATGTATGGCCACCCAACGCTAAAGCGAGCAGAAAAAAACCAACATTATTTGAAGTCAGGTGAGGGAAATCAAAATTATTTTTAAACAGAACCTCAGATCCTGGTGTCACATCACGGTATGTTAGATCTTGGTGTGTTAGTAGACCTTGGTGTGTTTTAGATCTAGGTGTGTTAGATAACTGTGAGTTAGATCTTGGTGTGTCAAATCACGGTAAGTTAGATCGTGGTGTGTTACATTTTGGTGTGCCAGATCACTATGTCAGACCACAGTGTGCTACACCTTGGTGTGTCAAATCACCACGTGTTAGATCTTGGAGTGGCATATCGCTATGTCAGATCACGGTGTATCGCCCAAATGTGTAACAATAAGTGACAAACAGACTGTAACACAGGATCCAATCGTTTTGTGAAATTATGAAAATTAGTTTTACCATAGTGTAATTTATTTGATCAAATCATATAATTATCGGTTGTATTGTCTTTTACGAGAAATGTGTTAGCTCCCCCTCCCCCCCCCCCCCCCCCCGCTCTCTATCGTCACATTCGAACCCACGAAAGAAGAGGACTACTACAAAACAGGACGAGAAGAGTTACACTTTAAAATGTCTTCATCTCTTGGGAAAAATACAACTCACACCTTTTGTCGTGTAGCGATGAGAACATACTATTATCAGTAAAATCAATAAGTTTTACCTAACACATACATACACAAACGTAGACGCGCGCGCGCGCACACACACACACACACACACACACACACACACACACACACACACACACACACATACACACACGCTCTCTCTCTCTCTTTCTCTCTCTCTCTCACACACACACAAACACACATACACACACATACACACACCCACACCCACACACACACACACATACACACACACGGAGTTGAATACGTCCAAGACTTTAAAGTGCTCATCTTGGAAAGTACCTTTATAATACAGGAGAAAACGCAAAAAGGGGGTCGTGGGGTCCTTTATGAAGCTGGGACTCGTGGTTGTTGGAACAAGCTCGACAGTTAAATATGGATTATTATGATACAATTTATGAAACAATGGTTATTATCTTTCCTGAAACATCATCCTCTGCAACCATTAAGCGCATTGAGGCCTCTCTGTAGTCATAATGTTCACTGAGGCAAAGAGCCCCCCCCCCCTTTCCACCCTGTTATTACGTACGACTAAAATACACTACTTTATACATCATTCGAACCTGCTTCAACAGCCACCTGTTCAAGACAATCACCTGTACAAATGACCACTCGCAAATTACCTACCTTACGTCTTCTTCTATACTATTCTAATGCCACTATCCAAGACTTTCACCTGTTTACGAGGATAACAACTTTTCTCCTCTACAATGGCCGTCTTGGAAAAATTCGACTGTTTCCGTTCATTTTTTAAACTTTCACAACTGTCCATTCCTTCCTCGTTCTGAGAGCCCTTTTCCCCCTTTATTTCCCTCAACTTCCAAGAGCAGCCATTATAGACGAAATACATCAATCTGCTAATAATCTGACTAAAAACAAGCACGGTACAAGTTTAAACATGTTTCATAGATGACTTACATAGATTCGTTTAGGCAGACACGACCAGCGCTGGTGTGTAGATGTAGAGGTTGGGTACTTTCTACGAGAGAATTTTTATAATTTTTATCGAGTATCTCGGTTTTCAGAAAGGACATTATATCCCCCACATCTCCAGTTGGCCCTGACGGACACAGTTGAAACTCGTCTCTAGAATGTTCTGAATTGTGTCGATTGGGACGTAGAATATCCTACATTAAAGAACAGAACAAGAAGATCCTGACGACGAGGCAGTAAGACGTACCCTCATTCGTGTATCACGTGACGTAAGCAGCACCAAGTTGTGGGAATTAACAAGTTAATTTAAAAAAAAATCAAATACAAAACAAAAACAACATGGTTCAGACAAAACCCTTCCAGGGATACAAACGTAATTACAATAAATAGAACCAACATTTACGATGCTTGATAGTTTACAGCTGTAAGAGACTTCAACCATTGCTTTTCCATTGCAATACGACGAAATGGTCAACATTGCTTTCTTTTCATTACCAAAAGATACAGAGATCAACATTAATTTTTCCACCCTAAAAATTACAAAATGATCAACAGTGCTACTTTCATCATAAAAAAGCAAGAAGACCAACATTGTTATTTACCTATACAATGCTGTTTTATCGTTCATTAAGGCATTAATATAAATGATTAAGGGAATACATTCTCTCTCTCTCTCTCTCTCTCTCTCTCTCTCTCTCTCTCTCTCTCTCTACTTCTATCTCTCTCTCTCTCTCTCTCTCTCTCTCTCTCTCTCTT